ATAATAGAAATACTAAAAAATGCTATAGAATGACATTTATACCCTCCACCACAAGGTGAAGTGTATATTAAATTTGTCATTCCCTTTGCAAAACTTCGGAACAGGGTTTAAAACCCAGCATAAAAAATATTAGAATGCTAAAAAATATTGACATTATGACTAAATTAGTAAACGGCTATTTTTTTTTTTTTTTTTTTTTTTTTGTTCGTAACTTTTGTCCCAAACACGTATTGCACATGCGAGCTTTTTTGTTATGACTAATCGGAAGTACAACAACATATTCATATTTCGTTGTCGACGAATAATCAGCAGAGGGTTGTTTTTAAATGTTTGCGTGATGCCAACGCAAATTAGATAAAAGGGAAATTTATAAGGAAAAGAGCACTTTAAAACTAAAACTGTAACTAAATTATATATTAAATATAAACCTTTATTATGCTAATTATTATTATGCTCATTGTCTTTACCCAAAAAATAATAAATTATCACAATCGCGATTTTTTTGTCTCTCATATAATTATAATTTCTAAAAATCATGAAATATATAAAATATATAGTTTTCCAAATACCTACATGTTCTACATTTAGCTCCATTCAGCACTATTCGAATACAAATTACAGATTTTCAAGACTACCTACATATATTAATCGTACCTCTAATTTTAACCAATTTAGTATTATTAGTACACATTATTACAAATTGTCAAAACTACCTCCAATCCTACATTCAAACAGTAATTTTAATCCCAAATTTAAGAATTCGAATCCAATGAAATTTTACAATACACTTCGACAGTAGTTTTATTTCCAAAATTCAAGATTCTAGCACTATTCGTTCACTCACTCGTTCGAATTTCCATAGCAGTCTTGATAGCTCAATCCTACACTTCAACATTAAGGGGACCCCTCCCATTCTCGGTTTCGGTTTTTGATTTAATTCGAACCTGCACAAATTCAAGAATGTCCCTATAAATTTTTAAGTGAAAATCTCAAAATTTTTTGAAGATATAGCCGATTTATTGTGTTAGCATCAAGTGACAGCAAGAGGGCTTCTCAAACTTTAAACGCGTTTTTCTCCAAACAGCGTGTTTACGAATGGCGGGCGCGATAACTCAAAAACTAATAACCCAATCGATAATTGTGCGAAGTCAATAATCCTAGTTCATACGAGAGTCAGACATGTACCCTTTCTAACACCGTTAGAATTTTCGGATTCCGATGTTCCAGTGAGGAGTTATTATGCCCGCCATTAAAAATAAGGACTTTTCTTTGATCCCTTAACGACTTTTGGGTTCCCTTAATCTAAATTCCAAATGTCAGTTTTCCAGATATATCCGTTCATGTTCTCTAGCAGTAATTCTTAATTCAAATTTGAGGTTTCCATTTCTATCCGACTAACCAAATCAAAATTGTACCAAGTGTAGTACCATTTGGTACATATAAATTAATTTTAATCCAAAATTTCAGGATTCCAGCCCTATTCGTTCACACAAAAACAAATTGTAAAATATTTGTTACCATTGAGTACTTTTTGTTCCCATAATTACGAATTTCCTAAATTTGCTAAATCCTACACTCCAGCAGTAATTTTAATTCTAAAATTCTGAAGTCCAGCTCAATCAGTATATATAACAAAACATACTTATTCCATATCTCAATTGTACACTCCAACAGCAACCATTATTCCAAATTTTAGGTATCTGACTGTTTCCGTTCACCTAAATCCAAATTTTGCCAAATCTATTGCCGTTTAATACTTTTCGTACACATTAATACTAATTTCCAAAACTGTCTCTATAGCTCAATCATCAGCAGTAATTTTAATTCCAAATTTCATGTTTTCCGCTATATCCGTTCACCCAAAATCCAAATTATACTAAATTTAGTACTTTTCGTACCCATAAGTACGAATTTCTTTAACTAACTCAATTCTGTACTCCAGTAGTAATCCTAAATCCTAATTTCACCTCTATACGAAAACCCCAGCTTTATCTCACAATCCACACTCACTTATCGCCAAGCCCTTTTATACATTAAGATAAATTCGCTATACAGGGCGAGAAAAGTTTAGATTTTTTCGAATTGGTCACCTTTGGCACGAATTATGACCTTCAAAGGGCCAATGAAACCGCCACACATTGCCCGAATGTTGCCATGCGGTATTTTGTCCCATTCCCGTATAAGCGCTAGCTTAAAGTGATCGACACTTTAGTATTTTTAGTGCCAACATTGCTTTCAAAATACTCCAGACACAATAGTCAACGGATTGGTATCCGGAGATTTTGGTGGCCAATGTGCGCTGGAAATGAAGCGAAGAACCTAATTTTTAAACCATACTTGGATGGCGCGTGCTGAGTGCGATGGTGCTGAATCCTGTTGGAATTTCCAAAATCTGCGGCCAAATGTTTTGCGTGCCCAAGGCTTTAATACACCCTCCAGAATATTTTCGCAATAATAATCGGCATTTATTCTGATGCCACGGTCGATTAATACGAGCGGAGAGCGACCATCGGCTGTTATGGCGGTCCACACCATCACCATGACCGGCGCACAGTGGGAAAAAATACCGATCTAGAGCGCAGAAAATGAACTTGAAGGAAACTTTAAAAAAAGTAATGCAGTTTTAAAGTAGAGTGTTGAGTGTACTTAAGTCCGTATAAAATAATCCGAATTAATAAGTTATAACGGAATAACGGTACATTTAATATAGATATTTTTTCCAATGTTAAAAATGGTATTTTTTAGCTATAAAATTGCGTGTGCATTCTGTGAATATATTATTATAGACTTTTGTCCATTTTAGATATATAGTATTAGTATTATTAAATGGAAGCTTTTTTAAGGTTTTGTTCAAATAAAATTAAAAATTTGTGAATTTTGTTGATATAATTGATCAAATATGACTTGGAATAGATCACAGCATAGCAGATTAGAAAAAAACAAGTTCAAAATGTCTGTCCTAAGGTTCCAGAGTAATGGGTGTGAGTATGAAAATGAGGGTATGTAAGTAAGCTGCTCCAAACATTGATTTTAAACTCATGCACTGAATATACATTTAGTCCAAATGTCTTTCTAAATAAAAATTGAAATTACAACAAAATCGGTTGTAAGAGTCTTCTCAAATACCGCAGGTAAAGGGTCTACTTTATTAACCCTGAAAATATATCATTAATGTAACATGTATGGTTTTCGCTATAAGCAAATTACAACAAAATTTCGTCATTAACACCAAACATCAACTAATACGAATTGGGCCTGTCTACCTTACATGCAAGGATCCGATGTTTAGAATGTATATTGCACATTTCATACCGACTGGTTTTGAAAATGTGGAAAATTAATAGCTCCGATCGGAACAACAAACGATGGCAATACTGCTAGGCGTTTTTTTAGCCAACCTGTCTTGGTATCGTCAATAACTGGTGTTGATGAAAAATTTATTAAAAATTTTAGTATCAGCCTTTCAACCATGGCCTGTGGATATGCTATTAACGCAGAGTCATTTAAAAAACTTACGGAGGAAACATTATATTATATCCTTGATTCTATATGCCTTCAAGCATACATAACATATAATTGCATGGAGCTGATGCAGGGAACTGTACACCAGAAAAATTAGTCGTGAGGAAACAATGAGGGATCTTTTCAATAGTTTGCTATTTTCTTCTGATCCAAAAATATCAAGTTTGTCTCATAGTACTTGCCACTATCTGAAGAAGTCCTTAAACTACTGGATGATCCAATGCTACCAAATAATTCATATCAAAACTCGGATTCTGAATGTGATTAGTATTTAATAAGTAATGCCTATATTTTATAAATAGTTTAATGTTTTAGATATATAATATTAACAATAATAAAGATACATATAATAACAATAGTGTTTGCCCTTAACCCACTTTTTACCCTCCAAATGTTTCAGAATTTTAAAAAGAAGCTCCCATTTTAGGAGTACTTTTAGTTATAACGAAAAATGTTGATTATTAAAAAATGTTTAATAAGCTTCAAAATAGTAATTTTGACCTAAAGAAATAGAAATTTGGACCAAAAAAAAAAAAAAAATCGGCGCTTAGTGGGTTAAAAAAACTTGCCAAATTTTTTCATAAAATAATTAAAATTGTTCATCTAAATCTATTCTTATCCATACACATAAACATACAGTAAAACATCTACTTTTATTTTCTGCGCGTTAGATCTGCATTTTTTCACACTGTGCGGCGGCACCATGACTACCAAAAACTAGTTGCTGTGAACTATATGACGTACATCTTTTTTCAAGAAATTTAAATTTATGGTAAGTGTTTAAAATTAATTTTATGATATGTTGCTTACAGATTGTTGAACAGTTAAATGACTTAGCTGCAACTACCTTACAGACGCAGGTGTCGAACCCTTTTAAAAATAGGAAATATGCTATTAAATGTTTTGCCGGCCACAAAAAACGGAATACCACAAGCACGCGATGATGACGACTCAGGACTTTATATCGAGAATGAAAACTGTTTCAAGACGAAATGTCACCCTTCTAACGAGCTTGAATCTGAAATTGTTTGATCGATACTTACTGTACGAGAAATCTTTCAGTACAGCCATCTGTCAAAAAAATAATGGATTTCTTTTCCCCCAACCTAATATATTCGCAATATGTTGAAAGTAATAATCTTATATATTTCTGTGATCTCGACGAAGATTAAATGATGTCTTTAGTTTAAATACATTTTCACGATTAGTATTGCCTTTCTACAAAAATATATTTTGTAGTTTTTAATAAACATACACGAATTTAACATGTTTTCAAATGACCTATTTTAAAATAAAATATTCTTTTATAATATAATCATCTACATCATCAGCGTGTATAAGAGGTATTCATAATAAATTTGTAGACCTCATGAAGATTTATATAGCGAAGGATTCCACATAATTAACTTAAAAATCTTGATTTTTGATTTATTTCGCCCTTGGAGCAAATGTGCGATATATTTAGTTAAAGTACTTACTTCTCCGTTATACAAGTCTGATGCATATAAATGGTCGAATGGTAAAGCTGCCAGTACATCAACAACGAACCAACCTTTTAGATAATTTATCGCAATTAATTTAGAGTCCAAAACAACTTCTCCTTTGCTAGAGACGTATGTTGTACGAAAATTGAGTAGAATATCTGCAAATATAAAAACATTGTTTTAATTTTACTTGTAAATTTTATTTGTTAGCAAAAACAGAAAAACTCAAAGATTTATCCACCACAGTTCGATGTATTTCAATCAGCCGTCAATTCTAAGTTTTGAACAGAGTAACAATTTTATTCTTTAAAATACAAATTTAAAGCATTTTAAGTGCAACTACGCAATATATTGCAAAACCTTATTGGACGTTGTCTGTTTACTTTTCTCAGTATTACTGCAAATGATAATAAAACTGCTTACTCTCTAAAATATAACTTACTTAGTAAATGTTACTGTAAAAGTAAACAGACACAACTACTTATTCTTTGTACATACATATAATAGAGCAAAAAATCAAAGTCGAAATTATACTTTTTATTAATCCCTATGTTGTTTCTTAATAATTCATTAAAATATATGCGCTACGGGTTATGTAACCTTGTGCTAGCGCTTTTGGCGTTTTATGAATAAGTAATTGTCACTTGTTTTGCGCCTACTTTAAGCATCAAGGAGTATCAAACTGTCATTCGGACAGACAACCACGCAATATCGTTTGCGCACAGGCATATCGTTGCCAATACAGTACTACTGTGGACCACGGATATAAAAACATTTTATATAAATAAAATCCGGAAAATTTTTCCCAAACATGAAGTCGTTTTACATGCAATCTACAGTAAATTGCTTTCATATAAGAACCTCTCTTATAAAAAACACCAATTTAAATTTCATTTGAATCCAAAATATCAATTCAAAAATAGGCTAGATAAACAATAAAAAAATCGCACCAAAAGTAATAATGACTCGGAAATTATAACCAGATCATGTGGGCTAAAACCATCGACTATACACTGGATGAATAATACTGTGGTGAGGCCCATCTTGGTGGAACTGTCTGAGCCTCTAGTCGACATCTAGTAAATTAGACAAGGTACAAAGAGCCGCCGCGATTTTAGTTACAGGAGCCAGAAGGAGTACGCCACAAGCAGCTCTGAACGCAGTGCTGCACTTCAAGCGTCTGGGCCTCAGCATTAAGTGTCACGCCGCGCGTAGCGCCCTAAGGCTGCATGAACAAAAACTCTGGCGGAACTGTACCTTTGGGCATGGTAGTATTCTGAATGAACCAGGTATGGCATTGGACCAACCCGCTAAACTAAGCGACTATATATCACCAATCCCGAGATTTGACGATGTAAATGTCGTTATTCCTAGTAGAGACGATTGGAAACGAAGTAACCCTCTTCTGGACGATCTGGCCTTCTATACAGACGGATCCAAGATGGAAAAAGGTATTGGGCAGGCGTCTACTGTGAAAGGTTAGGTCTTGAGTTAACCTACGAGCTGGATTGCAACTGTAGTGTTTTCCATGCTGAAATCTTCGCGATCTGGAAGGCAGCGGAATTGATAAATAGTCTGGATGCAGAGGTCGTTGAACCGGTGACTATCTTTGTGGATAGTCAAGCGTCTCTTAAAACCATCAAATCTTGTTACATCAAATCCGAAGCCGTCCTCAAGTGTAGAGCAGCTCTGGAAGAACTTACCTATAGCTATCGGTTGTGTTGGGTACCAGGACATTGTGACATCTTGGGTAATGAAATAGCGGACGAACTGGCTAGACGAGGATCTCAATCCACCGATCTAGAAACTGATGACTCAATCAAACCACCCATATGTCTTTTTTATCAGAACTTTGAGGCGTTCCTTGTCGAATGAGCCTGTGAACTTTTGCACAAAGAAGCTAGGTGCAACGAGTCAATATCCATTTGGCCGACTCTGTCTACCAAAAGAACGCACTCACTGTTGAACCTGAGGAAACGGAGACAATTGAGCATCTCCTGTGTCATTGCCCAGCCCTAGATAACAGGCGGCACAGACTAGTGCCGAGTCTCAGCTTCTTCTCAACAACCTAACCTGCTCTAATCTACAGCATGTGTTTAATTTAGATCTGTATAAAAATAATACTTTTTATTCACCCCTTTTGTGGTCTTCAATTATTCGTTAAAATGTTATGTTAGCGCTTTTGACGTTTTAACGAATAATCAATTGTCACTTGTTTTGCCGCCTCTTTTAAACATCGAGGAGTACCATACTGTCAGTCGGACAGACAACACTGCAATATCGTTTGCGCACAGGCATATCGTTGCCAAAGGTAAAATTGTTTACCATCTATTCAACCAACAATAAACTATTGAATATTATTACTAAGAAAACTATTGTGTTTTATTTTCTTCTTTACTTTCACGGCACACGGCTTTACGTACACACCCTACCCTATGGTCCACTGCTCTACGCATTCGGCGTACTAACTCCCATTGGCGGAGCCCCTCTGAGCTAAACAGCATGTTTAGAAACATAAAGTAGTTAGGAACATACAACCTTGACATGTAACATATCTTCTGTCTGACTCCTAGAGCCATCGACATTCATTCCTCCTTCATTTAAGTATGTAAGATTCTGAATTCTCCTTTAATTCCCTAATCTTCTCTCCCCTACAGATCTGTCTTTGTCTCTTCTCTTAACTATATCTCTTCTTGTGGATGATCACAACGGACCTAACCGGTCTCAGAGTGCTGCAGCCACATAAGTGACTGCACATCCCCAAATCTAACCTAACCATGTGTGCATTAGGGTTATGGGTTTTTACGACCTCAAATCCCTGAGTTATAACATCAAAAGTAATCATGCCTTGGAAATTATGACCAGATCGTGTGTACATCAGGGTTATGGGTTTTTACAACCTCAAATCCCTATGTCACATTAAGATGAGTTTTTTCATAAGAAAAAAAATCATTTGAATATTTTTTATTTATGAGAATTTTTGAAATTTTGTTTTGAGTTACTGTATGCAAATATATAATTAACTCTTTGAGCCCCGAATTTTTAATTCTTTGTAACTATCCTAGATAGGATATGGACAAAATTTGATATCGTTATATCCATGCATTCGGGAGATACAGCACATTCTTAAAAAAAATAAAAGCCCAATATCAAGAAAACCAAAAGCAAAATCGACAAAAAAAATTATTTTTAATTCTTCTCTATACTCTGTTTATTCGTACATTTCGAATACGAAGCGATTTAAATAATTTTGACTGTATACACAAATTAGTACTGTACTGACCCAATCGGAGAAACATTGGAGAAACAAACTTGATGTTCAATTGCATAAATCGGACGAAGATATATATAAGTTTTAACCGATTTCATCCAAACTTACCAGTCGTTTTTTTCTCATATATACACTGTCGGGTTTCTCCTATCAAATCGATTTGAAATGGATAGTTTTACAATACTTTAAAGACGTGGGTAAATATTTGGGTAAATACCCGAGTCAATATAGTAAATACCCAAATAAGGACCCACAAATGGGTATTTACCCAATTTACCTTTTGGGTATTTACCGACTGTCCATCTCTAGTTATGGTGGCGATTACTAGCAAAAATTAGTTTTGGTATATATACAGAGGTATTAAATTTACGCAGGCCCATAGGCCATAACCTTGAAGCTCTCACAACAAAAGACTTCTCGACGAAAACTTGGAAAATGTAGCTGAGGATTCCGAGATGATCTACAAAACACAAATTTAGAACGAAGTGGAGAGCTAAAATTCTTCATAAACCCATAAAGACACTGAAGCACACGACAGTCAACATATTTATCAAAAGACAAACATGTACTCTTTGACGTAAGCAATACCCAAAACGAACAATGGTTTTACTCGAATTAATAGTGAGACCATTAGAAGTTATCCTCTCTGACAGGGACGCCAAACAAGAATTAACTTAAGCCTCTAATTCAAGAACACATGCACTCCTTACAAAAAGATGGACACCATCAGCATACAAGAATCAGCTATCAAATATTGAATCAAAAATATCATTAACAAACATAATAAACAATAGTGGTCCAAGTACAGACTCTTGTACTTGTGGAACTCCACAATGAATACTACAAAAATCAGGTCTATCTCCCTTATGTCCAACAAATTGATATCTCCCCATCAAATATGATGACAACAACTTGCATGCCGTCGGAGACAACCCAAACTTGAACTCCAACTTCTAAAGCAACATAGCATGATCTATCGAATCAAAAGCCTTTGATAAATCAATATCAACAAGCACACCAACATCAGAAGTGTTAAACACATCTCTAATGCGGTCAGTGAGACACAACAAATGTGTTGTAGTGCTATATCCACGTCTAAACCCAAACTGCAAGCTACTTAAAGTTTACGGTCATCCAAGAGCCCAACAATAGTCTCCTTAATAATATGCTCCACAACTATGGATATAACAGGTAAAATATTTAAAGGACGCAAGTTCGAATTATCTTACCTTTCCCCTTTTTTTAGGAACCGACAAAACACGAGCAACCTTCCATGTCTGCGGGGATTTAGAAGTCATGAAAACAGTGTTTACAAAATGCAAAAATTAAAATGAGATATAGGGGGAAATCTGCTTGAAAACTGTAATAGGCAACCAATCAACGCCAACTGCACCCGACTTGACCTTACTCAATGCATTCACAACATCTTTCAAAAAATAAAAAAAAATGAAATAGAACCGGAAAACAGTACTACGATCATTGTTATGCAAATGCTGAATGCCACCCGATGAATTAAAAAGAAGGAAGCTCATACCATCATCCATACATCCAAATGACCGAAATGATTTCCACAACTGGCAATTATCCATATGACCGAAAAACTTATTGTAAAACTTCCTTCTTTCATTGCGCATAACACCATTGCATCGGTTCCTATAAAAATGGTAAATTCGTCTGCTATTATCAGATAGTCGTCGACGCCACTCTACATATGCATGGTCTCTCAAAGTCCGAGCAGAGTTCACCTCATCAGATTTTATCCATATCTGTGCCTAAACCGACGGGTAACCAAAGG